AGTATAAGGACTAAGTTGAGAAAGTTAAAAGAAAATTAGATTTGACCTAGATTTTGACGTTTGACCTAATTTGATAACCGTGACCCTTGACCCTTGACAATATTACTGTTTTAGAGCTCAGTATGTCTTTTTTGCTTAGGCTTACCCTAAATTTGAATCCAAAAACTCGATTTGAAAAATCAGCTTCTCTGACCTTTCGAAGGTCACTGAAGGTCAACTAAAGGTCAAATGTCAAATCTGTGGTTAGACATGAACTACTGAGAAGTTGTAGATGATTTTTTTAAAAAAATTCGGTGAATTTGAAGCAAGTTAAAATTTGACCTTATAAACTCTGAAAAATTGACGTTTTTCAGTTTTTGAGCTCTTATATCTCAAAACTGGGACAAAATTTTAATAAATAGTCAATTGGTAATATGTGTAGAACCCTTAGAGGAATGTATATCTTGACTTTCAATAAAAAATATTGATTTGTAGTCTTGAACTATGAGAAACTTAGATAGCACAGTGTGTGACCTAATTTGATGACCTTGACCTTTGACCTTGAAATTTTTACTTTTTTAGACCTCAGTAGGCTTTTTGTAATTAGACTGACCTAAATTTGAATCCAAAGACTCAATTTGAAAAATCAACTTTTCTGACCTTTCGAAGGTGACTGAAGGTCAACTAAGGGTCAAAGGTCAAATGTGAGGTCAGATTTGGACTCCTGGAAACTTGTAGATGATTTTAAAAAAAGAAATTGGTCAGATTGAAGCAAGTTGAAAAATGACCTTTTTTGACCGTTTTTTGACGTCAAATATCTCAAAAACTGTAAAAATTTAATGCTGACATATAGTGAACAATTTGTAGAGATTACTTAAATGTAGTTTCAGTTTAATTCATCGCAAGAAATACTGAAGTATAAGGACAAACTTGAGAAACTTGAAAAAAAACTTGGATTTGTGACGTTTTTCAGTTTTTGAGCTCTTATATCTCAAAACTGGGACAAAATTTTAATAAATAGTCAATTGGTAATATGTGTAGAACCCTTAGAGGAATGTATATCTTGACTTTCAATAAAAAATATTGATTTGTAGTCTTGAACTATGAGAAACTTAGATAGCACAGTGTGTGACCTAATTTGATGACCTTGACCTTTGACCTTGAAATTTTTACTTTTTTAGACCTCAGTAGGCTTTTTGTAATTAGACTGACCTAAATTTGAATCCAAAGACTCAATTTGAAAAATCAACTTTTCTGACCTTTCGAAGGTGACTGAAGGTCAACTAAGGGTCAAAGGTCAAATGTGAGGTCAGATTTGGACTCCTGGGAACTTGTAGATGATTTTAAAAAAAAAAATTGGTCAGATTGAAGCAAGTTGAAAAATGACCTTTTTTGACCGTTTTTTGACGCCAAATATCTCAAAAACTGTAAAAATTTAATGCTGACATATAGTGAACAATTTGTAGAGATTACTTAAATGTAGTTTCAGTTTAATTCATCGCAAGAAATACTGAAGTATAAGGACAAACTTGAGAAACTTGAAAAAAAACTTGGATTTGACCTAGATTTTGACCTTTGACCTTGACCTAGATATGAAATATTTTCCCATCAAGATCAAACCAGGTATCTAGTAGGAGCATATAGTAGAAAGTTATAAGCTAGTTGAAAGTAGGAGAAAACTGCTTTGATAGAATAATAATAAGAAGAATAAGAAGAAGAATAAGAATAAAGAAAAGCTACAAAAGCTATAGGAGGCCCTTTCAGTAGGGCCTCCTAATAAATAAATAAAGAAAAGCTACAAAAGCTATAGGAGGCCCTTTCAGGAGGGCCTCCTAATAATAATAACTAGAGACCAAGATTGCAAGCAATCTTTAGGAGGCCCCGTGATTGCCCAATTCAATGACCTTGACATGGTCACCATTTTGCTCAATTAGGCAAGAATATCACAATTCACATTTCAATGTATCTAAATATAACATATGAACAAAATCGCTTCATTACTTTACTAGTTATAGGGAAAAATGTAATGTGAGAAAAAATTAGGCGCCATTTTTCAAGATGGCTGCCATATTCATGAAAAAGTCAAAAAGATCATCAGTCTTGTTTCCACATAACCTAAATATAAAATATGAACTAAATTTGTTTCATTTCACTTTTTTGAGTTATAGTAAAAAACGTAATGTAAGACAAAATGGGCACCATTTCCAAGATGGCCACGTTTTGGTCAATTCTTGACTTTTTCTATGTATTGTATGTAAGAATCAGAAATACATTTAGCTGCATTTAAACTACATTAATATAACACACAAGAAACAAAGACTGGGGGCCATTTGAGGAGATGTTTGATGGGATTTGGTATGCCGTGGTATTGCAATTTTCTAGTTGTGGTATTAACAATTGAAAATTCTTTGATTTTGGTGAACATGCATTTGTTATTTTATTAGGTTTGAATTTAACTTTAGACTGAGCTACACGCCCAAGATGTGTAGAACATTTAAAGGAAGATATATCCTAACTTTCATCCAACAATATTGATTTATAGTCACAAACTTTGAGAAACTTAGAAAACAGATTTTGTAATTTGATTGGATGACCTTGACCTTTGACCTTGCGAATTTTACTTTTTTGACCACAGTAGGTCTTTTATAATTAAGTATACCTAAATTTGAATCCAGAAAAACAATTTGAAAAATCAACTTTTTTGACCTATCTAAGGTCACTGAAGGTCAACCAAAGGTCAAAGGTCAAAACCAAGGTCAGATTTGAACTCCTGACAATTTGTAGATGTTTTTTAAAAGAAAGTTTGGTCAATTTAGAGCAAGTTAAAATTTGACCTTGAAGAATTTCGAAATTTGACATTTTTTCAGTTTTTGAGTTCTAATTTCTCAAACCTGGTGCAAAATTTTAATAGATAATCAATTGCTAATATGTGTAGAACCATTAGAGGAATATATATCCTGACTTTCATTCAAAAAATTTGATTTGTAGTCACAAACTTTGAGAAACTTAGTAAACACAGTTTGTGATTTAGTTTGATGACCTTGACATTTGACCTTGGAAATTTTAATTTTTTTGACCACAGTAGGTCTTTTATGATTAAGTTTACCTAAATTTGAATCCAGAAAATCAATTTGAAAAATCAACTTTTTTGACCTTTCGGAGGTCACTGAAGGTCAACTAAAGGTCATAGGTCAAAACTAAGGTCAGATTTGAGTTCCTGAGATCTTGTAGATGCTTTTTAAAAAAAGTTTGCTCAATTTGGAGCAAGTTGAAATTTGACCTTGAAAAATTTCCAAATTTGACCTTTTTTCAGTTTTTGATTTCTAATATCTCAAAACTGGAGCAAAATTTTAATAAATAGTCAATTGCTAATATGTGTAGAACCTTTAGAGGAATATATATTATGACTTTCAGTAAAAAAAATTGATTTGTAGTATCCAATTTTGAGAAACTTAGAAAACACAGTTTGTGATTTAGTTTGATGACCTTGACCTTTGACCTTAGAAATTTTATATTTTTTGACCACAGTAGGTCTTTTATGATTAAGAATACCTAAATTTGAATCCAGAAAATCAATTTGAAAAATCAACTTTTTTGACCTTTCGGAGATCACTGAAGGTCAACTAAAGGTCATAGGTCAAAACTAAGGTCAGATTTGAGTTCCTGAGATATTGTAGATGCTTTTTTAAAAAAAGTTTGCTCAATTTGGAGCAAGTTGAAATTTGACCTTGAAAAATTTCCAAATTTGACCTTTTTTCAGTTTTTGATTTCTAATATCTCAAAACTGGAGCAAAATTTTAATAAATAGTCAATTGCTAATATGTGTAGAACCTTTAGAGAAATATATATAATGACTTTCAGTAAAAAAAATTGATTTGTAGTATCCAATTTTGAGAAACTTAGAAAACACAGTTTGTGATTTAGTTTGATGACCTTGACCTTTGACCTTGGAAATTTTAATTTTTTTGACCACAGTAGGTCTTTTATGATTAAGAATACCTAAATTTGAATCCAGAAAATCAATTTGAAAAATCAACTTTTTTGACCTTTCGGAGGTCACTGAAGGTCAACTAAAGGTCAAAGGTCAAAACTAAGGTCAGATTTGAGTTCCTGAGATCTTGTAGATGCTTTTTAAAAAAAAGTTTGCTCAATTTGGAGCAAGTTGAAATTTGACCTTGAAAAATTTCCAAATTTGACCTTTTTTCAATTTTTTGATTTCTAATATCTCAAAACTGGAGCAAAATTTTAATAAATAGTCAATTGCTAATATGTG